GCCGGTGCCCTCGCTGCTCGGCTCGGTCGCCGGCCGCCTGTCCTCCGCGCCGCTGGCCATGGCCGGCTCGCTGGCCGGCAATTTGCAAGAACTCTCCGCCCGCTACCTGAGCTCCTCGGCCTTCGAGCCTTACTCCCGGACCAGCAATAAAGAAGGCGCCGAGAAAAAAGCGCTGGACTGATTGTACGGGTTGGCCTGTATTTATATTTATAGTATCTATTGTGGTGATATTTATGGACTCACGCGAGCTCGGCGCCCGGGGCTCCCGCGCTGGGCTCCCGGCGCCCAGGAGGCCGCGGACAGCTCTCCGTCCCCACCAGGCTCTGCTACTAATTTCATCTCATTTGGGCTATTTCCCCCCCCACCACACCTTTCCTACGTGTTCTCCCCTCCCCGCAAACTTCCTCGGAACCCAGGAGAATCCAAAGAATTGGGAGAAAGGCCCGAGTTAGCCAACCGGACGCCTCCACCAGTGCGGGGCCCTGGAGCGCAGGGACCGGTGCTCAGGCCGGAGCGCAGGACCCCTCCCGAGACCCGGCCGCCGCTGCCCTGCCCGTCGAGGAGTCTTAGGAATATTTTGCAAGAGGAAAGCTGAGCGCAGAGCCCAGCGGCTGAAAACGCTGGCGGGTTTCTTGAGACCCAAAAAGGAGCACCTTCCTTCCTTTCGCCAGAGAAACCAGGGCTTTTGGGGAGCCCCTGGCCCCCACTTTGCGGACCTCTCCGGAGAGCCGGTGCCCGCGCAGCTTCCCGGCTGGACAAATCCTGCTGAGTTTTCCTTCCCTGTAGAGAAGCTCCCATCACAGCCGCCTCCTGGGCCTGTGGACCCCAGGAGACAATAAACGCAACATCGCTGTAGGCATGGGTGGTGACAGATTTGACCTTCTCAGCAATAAAACAACAGAGAGCGAGAGAGAACCACCGCATTCAACCGGATCCAGCAGAACCTGTTTAAAAAGACTCGTCCGGATGGCGTTCGGAAGCTCTGAGAAAACGCAGCACAGAGAGCGCGCCACGGGGCGCGCGGCAGAATTAAAGTTCTGGATGTTACCATTTTAAGCAGAAATTTAGAAGGGAAAAAGCAAACGAAAAAGCCAACTCAGCGAATGGAAGGAAACTCGACATCCTTCCCCGCGGCTGTGCGCGGCGGCGGCTGCAGCTGGCGGGGCTCCG